TCCTGACCCAAAAAGCAGTTGTGGGTAGGTTGCGAGGTTGTTGTACTGCTACCCTTACTTCTGTGCTGCTGCTGCTGGTGGCGCTGCCTTCAGAGCTGGGCAGCTGGAGAGTGGTGGCTGCTGGCCAGGAGCCCAGCTCTGAAGGCAGCGCCTCCACCAGCAGCAGCGCAGAAGTAAGGATGGTATGGTATTGCCACCCTTACTTCTGCGCTGCTGCTGGCAGGGCGCCACCTTCAGAGCTGGGGGCCTGGCAACCAGCCATTGCTCTTCAGCCACCCAGCTTTCAAGGCAGCGCAGAAGGGTGACAATAAGGCAACCCCCCTGTAACTCCCTTTTGGGTCAGGACCCCCAATTTGAAAAATGCTGGTCTCATCCGTGCAATCTGTATAGTATAGGGTAAAAGCACTCAAAAGACCAGATTTCATGGTGGGACACCAGATTTTATGGTCCATTGCATGTTTTTTATGGCCATGAATTTGGTAGGGCCCTAGTTATCCGGTACTTTACCAACCAGAAAGCTCTATAAACCGGCATTTCGGGAAATGTGCGGGATGCACGCTCTGGGAGGCAGTTTGAGTTTGGGTGTGGGAGGGGTCTCAGGGGAGGGGTTTGGGGCATGGGAGGGGTATCAGGATGCCGGATCCAGGCAGCACTCATCTTGGGTGGCTCCCTGCAAGCAGCGGCATGTCCCTGCTGCTCCTATGTGGAGGTATGGCCAAGCAGTTCTGTGAGCTGCCTCTGCTCACAGGCGCCGCCCCTGCAGCTCCCATTGGCCGCAGTCAATGCTCCTAGGCAGAGGAACCACCACAGTGGCTCCATGCACTGCCTCCACCTCGAGTGCTGGCTCTGCAGCTCCCATTGGCCAGGGACCACAACCAATGGGAGCTGCGAGGGAGGTACCTGCAGGCGGAGGCAGCTCACACTGAGCATTCTTTGTCACAGGTGCTTGGCTAGCTAGTTCTTGTTCACATGCCCAGGGTCTACTGATCACCATATGTGGTGTCAGGAAGGAATTTTCTCCCAGTTGACCATGGGGGATTTTCGCCTTCCTCTGCAGTGTGTGGGTGCAGGTCCCTTGCCGGGATTATCTGGGTAGAACTCATTCATTTCCCTGACATTGCAGGGGCTGCCTCAAGCACTGGAACACCTCAGTCCCTCCTGTTCTCTGCCTGGTGCAGATAGTAGTCTAGTCTCCAGCGGGCTGTAATGCTTTGGTCTCTTTTCAGGTGTTGGGTTTAGTGACTGGTGCAGATGGCCTGTGATAGCAGGCTAAATGATCTAGCGGTCCCTTCTGGCCATAACTCCATGATTATGACTCATGCTGTAAACGGATACACAACTAGCATGCTAAATGAAGTTACGCAGCACTAGGCATTATCTTTATTACATATAAGAAATTTTTTTTATAACTGATTAAATCTAATTCTTTCACTTAAATTAGTTCCAGGTGGAACTATAAAGGTAGCAGTGCTATGTTTGATAAAAAATGGCAAATTGCTATAATCATTAAGGGCTGCGCAGCCAAAAAGTTAATAGATCTGGATGTCACTTGATAAGCAAATTTCATATAAATCAAAGTTGCCTTTAAAATATTTGATCCTTCTTTCAGGTTATTCCACTAAATGTGTATAAACAAAATTGTGAAGGATGTCATGTCTGAGATAAGCCATCAGTAAGGTACCTCAGAGATCAGCACTGGGCTGTTGTGCTTGTGTAGAGAAGTAAAGTTTGCAAACAAGACCAAAAATTGTAAGTCTCTTTAGTGACATAAATCTCAGAAAGATTTAAACACCTCAGGGCAGTGATCTATAAAACAGGTGATTAGCCCAATGTGACCTATGTAGAGTCATTCATGGTAGGACTAAAGATTCAAAGACCATATGTATCTGGATAGACATCACAAATGTACTGAACCCTGGTGATGCCTCATCTGAAGGACTGTATCCATTGATGGTGTTACTGAAACGTAGAGGCACAAATTATGAAAGAGGTTCAGAAAAGTGCAACTAAAAGTAAAAAATATGGCCTGTCTTACCACAGACATAATAGACAGATAAGCCTGTATGCTTTGGAGAAGATGGTTACTACAGGAAAATCTTGTCATTTGTTTCTATGAAGAAAACGCTGGGCACACCAATATTTTGTGACATACAAAGACTACTAAAGCATTGTTCTTCGTACGCACAATTTCATCACCAGAGCTCCAACAAATGAAGTACTCTTAAGGACAGCTAGTGCAATACAGCCATTAAACACCACAGTCCAGCTTTGATGTAGAACAGCAATGCTCTACTCTGGCTCTCTAGACACATGTAGCTGTGCATGGACCACCTGCACCAGGCTTTTGATGTGCACTTCACTCAGTACCAGGTTCCAAGCCGGTTACAACAGATGCATACTCCATAATGCAGTGTGGAATGGAAAAGGAGATGCTAGGATCCCTTGAAAGCAGAAATGAAGTGTTCCTCCTTACGTTAACCGGGTGGGAAACAGAGTGATATTCTCCTCAAAGTACTATAAAAAAATGCAGATGTTTTACAACCGTCAAATATCAAAGGTGTTCATTGTAACAGATTAATTGAATCTCAATCCAGACAGTATGGGAGGGAGGTAAATCTCCCATAGATGAAATCAATGGAAGCACGCAAACTGGATCTACCTCCATTTTGGATAGCCAGCCCTCTCTCTAAAAGATTCCTTAATTTTAAAGCTTACTACTCCCCACTTCATCCAACATAGCCTAGATTGGCTGACTTTCATGGCACACTGCAAAGTGTATCTGTTTACTCAACCTTCCGGAGGTGTTGCAGGGAGCAGCTTGATGGGACTGTATGGTTGTGGGGCAAGAGTTTTCTGGGGAGTTACTGGTGGATTAACCCGCATGATCAGGCCCTAAGGCAACAGATGCTTAATAAGTACCATTGAAGTCAACGGGACTATTCACATATCTAAGTTCTTGCAGAATTGGCAGCTCTTAAGTATGTCACAGGCACCTAGAGTAATAAATACCATTTTACAAGTTTCACCATAAATTTCTAACAATGCTAATTTCACCACAGCTCCATTCACTGACCCAAGTGGCTCTTCATTTGTGAAAAACTGAACGCCATTGGTACAGAGTGTTGCTAATGGAGTTCAGGTACAATACAGTACAATGAAAGCAAACAGACAGTAGTTTAAAACTTCAGGTCAGGGACTTGTCTCCTCAGTATAAACACCCTGTAAGCGGAGATACTATACTGTTAGTCTGAAGACTCATCTATGAATGGACAAATATTTCATCCATGTAAATGATACTGGATAAGCAGAATAGAAAACTTGCTGGACAAGAGATGCAAAAAAGCTGACCTTTCAGGAGAGGGAGCATTTTACTCTGAATATGCACAAAACATTCACACTTCTAAACCTGTACAGGGTGACCAGGGAGGACCTTTTCTAATCCACATAGGTATTTGTCAATTTCAGTGTTAAATCTGGTGTAATAAACAGGGGACATACCCTTTGACCCCAATGTAACACAAGGATCAACAGAGCTCCTGGAAGGAACAGAGGAGAACATGGCAAATTTGTTTAAAAAGAAGCTGGTCCATCCACCACCTCCCTCACGCTCTGATGTTACCTTTACTGCTGCTCCCTAAATGAACAAAGCAGAGACTCAAGAAGGGGGAAAATAAAGTGAGGAGGCAGCTCTCTCCCACTGAGTCTAGCACTGACCTGTTGCCTACCCCTCTAGTCTGTTAGAAAGACAAATAGGCAGGGTTTGAAATATTTACTATACAATTAACAGCCAGAAAGATTCAAACCCATGCAGAAGGCCACACCAGGAAGTTCAAGAGGCAATGCCATGTTGAATAACCCAGCTTCACTCCCAGCAAGGGAAGAGTATGCTGAGATTCCTATTCAGGTGCACTCTCTGGCATCAGCTCATGAGTTTTATCTTCTCTACCAACCACTCCCCTATTTGCATCGTAAATACTTCCACGTATGCCAACTAATACCTCTTCCTCCTTGATGTATAATCCTTTCTGCTATTTGGAGACTGCCCTCCCTCCCCCATTCCTGCCCCACTGTCCCTTTATAACCCTTTCACAAGCAAACGACACATTTGAGAAAAATCTTTCCTCAAACCAAGCCTAGCAGTACCCGTTTATTGTATTCGCCTGACAGCTCTCCAGGCTGTCACTTTTTCCCAGAGGGGCACTCAAAACTGAGTATTAAAGAGGTGATCGGAAATGAAACAGAAAAACTAGCACCTGCCTACTTTGGGATCCCCCTGCATCCACTGCCTAAAACGACCTTGGCCTTTTCCCTGCTCCATTCGGTTTAACGGGCACAGAACCATAAACCAAGCATGCTGAGCGGAGCTATTCGGAGAGAGTTGTTTGAGCTGAAGCCTGCAGGAAGGCTGTTCCCGAGGTCAGGCCCTGCAGAAGAAAAGGGTCTGACACAGCCATGTTGGAGGTGGGCCCAGTGTTAGAGAGGGGGAGAGCGCAGCATATCCAGGCCGGAGTTTAGGAACAGGGCAGCTGGTTTTGAACCAGCCCCAGCAGGAGGGGGGCCCCGAGCGAGCGGAGGACGAGGAGGAACATGGCTGCACGTGTGAGGAGGGGGCAGCAGCACTGCCCAGGCGGGAGGGCGAGGGGAGGCGCGAGGCCCCCGGGTAGCAGGCAGCTCTGCCGGCCAAGGGAAGGCGCAGGCGAGCCGGGGTATGGAGCAACCCCCATCGGGCCCGAGGGCTGCGCCGCGCCGTGACCCAGCCCGCGGGCCACCGCCCTTCCTACGCCCGCCGGCGGCTCCAGCCGCCCGATGCGCAGCGGGCTCCGCCGGGGCAGGGTAGGAGCCGCCCCGCGGCTGCGGCCCGGCTCGCAGGGCCTCGGCCCCCCGCCGCCGCACAGCCCCGCCTCACGCCGGCGGAGCGCGGCCGTTTGGCCGGAAGCCGCCTCCCCTGCCCCGGGGCGGCAGGCCGGGCCGCGTCCCGTCCCGCCCCGCCCCGCACTCACCTACGGCAGGGCTCGCGGCTCGGGGCAGGGCGCTCCCCGGGGCCTGGACGGGTCTGCGCGCGGGGCGGGCGGAGCGCGGGGCGGCCTCTCCCGCTGGGTCCCAAGGGGAGGTGGGTGCGGCGGGGGCCGGGCTCGGTCACAGCGCAGCCTGGGGCGAGGGGCAGCAGCGCGGGCTCCGGGCTCTCGCTTCGCGTCTCCCTTATTGTCTCGCCCCTGCGCCCTGCATTCCAGGGCAGGAACCCCCGTCACCAGCCTCCGCCAATCAACGGCGCGCTCGTTGTGACGGCTGTGGAACGTTCACTTCCCGCCGAACCGCACGCGGGGTTTAACTGCAGCGACCCGCTTCCGCCCGCGTGACGCAGAGCGGCGGGCGGGCGCGCGCGCGCGCTCGACCCTCACTGCCCCGCGACCTAGCACGGGCGCCGAGGCTCCTCCCAGCCCAGCCAGCAGGGGCTTCGCAGCCCTGGGCAACGGCACGCGCTGCACGGATCGTTCCAAGCCAATGAGAGGGGGCGCCTCAGCCTGGGCAGACACACGCGGTGTTCCAACCCAATGAGCCCGGCAACAAGGGCGGGGAGGGGGCGTCGCACTCCCAGGCAGTGGTCTGAGCTGTGGGGGTAGTGCCAGTCCCCTGGGCAGAGGCACTGGACTGGTGGAGATGGGAACTGGCAAAACAGGAGGCAGTTGCCCTAGCTGCAAAGGGGGGGGGGGGGTAGCTCTGGGCTTGGGGGAGGAATTTGCAGTCTTGTGGCCAAGGGTGACCCGCTGAATGTCGATGCAGGTGCAACGCACACACACAAACCCAGTACCTGTGTTTTCGAAGTGGCAATTCTTTACCTAATTAAAAAAAAAAAAAAGATTTTGCAAACTAGATTCAGCTTAGAAACCAGTGATGTATTTGTGAAATTCCTTTTGGGGAAGGGGGGCTGAGGAAAAAGGTCTTGCCAATGCAGAACAAGGTAGATAGTGAGTCAGGATCTGTTTATATAATAATTTAAACCACAGAAACATAAAGAGAGGAACCAGGAAACAGTATATCCCCTGGGGATAGGAAGCAATTGTACAAGAAGCAGCTAGTTGTTTGCCAAGAACATAATGCTTCACAAAGGGCATTGCTTTTTCCAGTTTACACTAGGCTTTTCTAATGCATCCATCACCAGAGTATTTAGGTGCCAAATACAAATTTATCTACAAAGGACCCTGTTCTTCCTCCACTTCTTGGTCCAGCTGCTGGTGCTTAGAAAAATATATTCCCCAGCAACAATCTTTCCATTAGAAAACGTATGTAAGTTATCAGAAGGAAAAATTGGGTTTGGTGTCATGCACTGAAAACATGCATATTCGCTCTGACCTATTGTGAGCAATTCCACTGTTAAAAGCTCTCATCCAAAAGCCAGATGGTCCCTGTCAGCTTGTAGCAGGCCTCTGCACAGGAATTGTAACTAACTTCAGTATTTTTAATTGGTTCTGTTCTTTTCTTCACAGCAAAAAACAGCTATCAAGATACCAATCACAATGTAAAATCTTTGTAAAGACCAGGCAACACAGCCAGTCTAGGTGAACTCTCAGTGGGAGGGGCAGAGGTAGGCTTTTTCTCAACTATCTATCTTGGGAAAAACTAAATTGCCTGCCTTCTCTAGGATTTTACATTGCAATAGATATCTTGATGTAAAAAAGCACTTTTGCAGTGAAGACACAGCCTCTATGATAGCATAAAACCCCATGTATGTGAGGGGGTGGGGAAAACACTTTAAACTGGTTTAAAATTGCTTTATAGCAATCTAATTTGTTCAGTTACTATATGAACCAGCTTAAGACAATAACAGACTGAACTAAGCTAAATCAATATAAGCTAGTTATAAGCCAGCTTTATTGTGTTCACACGGGAATTTTCACTGTTTTAACTCAATTTAAATATTGATTTTAGTTAAATCAGTGCAATTTTTGTGTTTAAAGGGCTAAAGTCTAGCAACAAACTGAATAAGAGGTTTTGGATAAAGTTTGAAAGATGAAAACATCCCTACAAAAAGTTTTTGCCCTCCAGAAATCTCTGCTGGGAGTCTATGCTCCTCCCAATGATCAAAGTTTCATATTAGTAAACTGAAACGTTTCATGTTAAAATTCAAATTAAAGAAAAAAATCTTTTCAAGGTTCAACCATGAAATAACATTTTCTTATCACCAGACTACCAACAGCTTCAACACCCTACACGCGATCTCCTAGAGGAAGGAAAGCAGGCAATATTTATATTCTGCCCCTTTTCCCAAGATTCATGGCTGAGAGACTAGGTGCTTTGTCCTGCCCGCGATTAAAGGCTATGGTACTGAGTCCTGGATGGCATTATTAGCCTGGGTTCTGCCACTGCGATATAGTGGGACTACTTGCTCTCTCTCTCTTCGTTTGCTTTATGCACTGGGGCTGCACTTATAAGAAAAAAACCTAGCATAGAGTAGCATAGCATATACCGTGATTCTCAAACTATGGGGTAGGTCTCCTCTACGTTCTCCTGCAGCTGAGGTAACATTGCTTCCTCCTAGGTGGCTACCTTGGTGGGCAGGCTAGTGATCTATCCCCTCAGTTAGAGAGACAACTAGCTCCTGCCCTTTCACCAGTCAGCTCTGAACTGAACCAGGTTCTCTCCTTTTCTTCCCCCTCCATGCCTGGCATTGGCTGCAGGTATAACAGGGTGGGGCTAGATGGGGGCCAAAGGTTCTCTTTAGCCCTTGCTGTGCTGGCTGGCAGTTTCTCTGCTTCATCACAAGCACCATTTGCAAACAATTATTTTTTTTATTAAAGACCTATATGGTCTTCCTTCCAGCCATTAGCAGAGTACCAGAACTGTCTTGCATACCCAATAAAGTTTTGGGATAAAAACAATGCTTAGTAAATCTTGGGTCTGTGATGGGGTGTATCAACACCACACTGGTGAGGCAAGGGTTAAGGAGCTGCTCTGCCTGCAGGAAGCCACACCCCCTTGCCTTTGCTGGACATGTTCCCGGTGGTGAGAGCATTCAAAAGGGAGCATCTCAGGATGTATGTGGACTGAGAAAGAGAGCAGGTGGGTGTAGCAGTTGCCTGCTGAGAAGATATTAGGCTTGAGCCTCTTAGCCAAACAGCTGGAAGTCCATTGACTGTGTTAGTGGAGAGTGATGACTCACTGTCACTGAGGGAAGGGGTGCTGCAGATGAACCTGGCAGAAATCCAGGAGGAATCTGAGACCAAGCTGTGACACAAACACAGGTACAGGAAACAGGGGTAGGAAATGACCCAGGAAGGGTGAGTAAGGGTACCAGACCCCAGGCCATGTATATGGCCTACTGCTTTGAAGGGCCCTGGGTTGGAACCTGGTAAAGTAGGATGGGCTGGGGGTCCACTTCCCTCCTGTGGACTGTAGCTACTAGGTAGAGCAGTGCTGGACCCAGGGGCGGCTCCAGGCATCAGCGCAGCAAGCGCGTGCCTGGGGCGGCAAGCCGCGGGGGGCAGCCTGCCGGATGCTGTGAGGGCGGCAGTCAGGCTGCGTTTGGTGGCACGCCTGAGGGAGGTCCGCCGGTCCTGCGGTTTCGGCGGCAGGGACGCTGAAGGCATGGCAACACATGCCGCCGAATCTGCATGACCAGTGGACTGGCCACAGGCGTGTTGCTGAAAGCCGCCTGACTGCCGTGCTTGGGGCGGCAAAAACCATAGAGCCACCCCTGGCTGGACCCTCACCAATAGGTGGTGCTGCTGGCCTGGGGCACATGGCCACCCCCCGGGCCATATGAAATTTAAAGGGGCAGTACCTCAATCTCAGAGCCAAATGCTTTTTTTTTTTCTTTTCCCCATTGCAAATGTGGAAGTTAGTGTTCAGTGTGAGACAACTGATCCATGCCCGTCTGCCATGTACATTGGCCAAACCAGACAGTCTCTACGCAAAAGAATAAATGGACACAAAATCTGACATCAGGAATCATAACATTCAAAAACCCGTAGGAGAACACTTCAGTCTCTCTGGTCACTCAATAACAGACCTAAAAGTGGCAATTCTTCAACAAAAAAACTTCAAAAACAGACTCCAACGTGAAACTGCAGAACTGGAATTAATTTGCAAACTGGACACCATCAGATTAGGCCTGAATAAAGACTGAGAGTGGTTGGGTCATTACAAAACCTAAACCTAATTTCCCCGTACTGTTGTTCACACCTTCTAGTCAACTGTCTAAAATGGGCCACTCTCATGACCACTTCAAAAGTTATTTTTCCTCCCTTGGTATCCTGCTGTTAAATGAATTGTCTCGTTAGACGGACCTCACACTTGGTAAGGCAACTCCCATCCTTTTGTGTATTTATACCCACTCCTGTATTTTCCCCTCCATGCATCTGATGAAGTGGGTTCTAGCCCACGAAAGCTTATGCCCAAATAAATTTGTTAGGGGATAGGTGGGGGGCAGGGGCGCTGTGTGGGGGTCGGGTGGGGGCTCAGGTGCTGTGTGTCGGTATTGGTGGGGGGGTAGGTGCGGTGCAGGCAGGCGCTGTGTGGGAGTAGTGGGGGCAGGGGCGATGTGTGGGGGTCGGGGTGGGGGCTCAGGTGCTATGTGTTGGTATTGGTGGTGGGGTTGGGGGTGCAGGCAGGCGCTGTGTGGGGGTGTGGGCTCAGGTGCTGTGTGTTGGTATTGGTGTGGGGATAGGTGGGGTGCAGGCAGGCGCTGTGTGCGGGTAGTGGGGTGCAGGCAGGCACTGTGTGGGGGTAGGTGGGGGGCAGGGGCGCTGTGTGGGGGTA